ATAATTAAAATTAATTTTTAGAAACTAAAGTACCAGCTGAAGATCTTACAAACTATTTAAATGTATCAGTCTTAAAAAGACCATTAAACATAAGTGTATACTAATAACTATAAACAACTTCATAACTTAAAACAATTTAAAATCAAAAATACTTAGCAACCATACAATTTTAACAATATTTTCGTTAAAATACACACATTAATTTTTATTAAGTATTTAGTTGATGAAAAATGAGAAATACATAATATATTACGCCAGATATTTAAATTGCATGATTTTTACGCACAATAAGACACGGTATTTTCAATAATCATCAATGAGTGTTAAAACATAGATTATAAATATTATTAATACAATTATTAGTGTTATTATTGTGTTCTGTACAAGACGGGAATACAACACTGGTGGCTAATAAATGATCGTGATTAGCCATAAAATTTAATCAGTCACAACCTTCGATACATACAAAATAAAACATAAACACCAATTATTTTCTTTTAAAATAAAAATTCTACTTTATTATGAGTTTAGTATTAAATAATATTATTTGAGAACTAAACGACAATAATTAATAAATAACTACTACCAAACTATCCCACATCCAAAACAAATGTGATAAACGATATTTACAGTTAAATGGAAAGCTTAAATGTTTGATAAAATTTGTTAATTAATTTAAAATAAACAAATAACTATTATTTCATACACATTTAATATTAATTTGATAACAAAAATTCAACACACCCCAGTGAAGAAGCGCATAATTATTGATCTTAATAAACTTCTTAGGTCATAATAACAAAATATTACAAACACGCAATATTCAAATTACCTATATATGTATATTATTAAAAATTTATATGATATACAACAAGTCTTCAGGTAATATTTCAGTAAAACTGAGCGTTAAAGCATAAAACTATTTCTCATAAAATAAGTTGGGTTTAGTCAGTAGTTAGTTCACTTTCTACAATAGCTGACTACCCTATATTGCCTATACAAACGCCCTTTAAAATATTAATTTAAAAATTTAGCGATTTTAATAATTATTAAACTGAAAATATATTTTGTTACTAAACTATAGAGCACTAACTATAAATATAAAAGTTATTATTTAAGATAATATATTCTATAGTAGTGTAATATCATTTATTATTTTAATATTTGAAAATGTACAGTTTAAATAAATATAAATTTTCATAGTTAAATAATAAATAATAATACATATATATATTTGATTAGAATATAATTTTGAATCATAGGATATTTAAAAATACATTTAAATGTTGGTTTAACTAAACATTAATTCTTTCTCTTAATAATTAATGTTGATTTGAAATTAAATTAGCATCATCGTTTAATTTGATTCATAAAAACTATTTATAATACAAGACGTATATATATCTTATTATTAAATTTTAAAAAGGAAAAGATAAATCAACTGATATTATAACTTATTTACATGTAAATAATACATTTGAGCATTAAAATATTTAATCTTTTCAAGTCTATAATATTATATATAAGAAAATTTGACCTATAATAATAATAATATTTTATAAGCTCCTACTTATAAGTAAACAATTGCCATCTACTTACACTTAATTTCTTTAATATTTTATTTACAACTAATAAAATAAAATAATAAGAAGCTTAGATAAATTTTTAGACAAAATAATGTTACAGCATTAAAATAATAAACATACATGGTACAATTATATATAACAAATAAATCCGATTTAATATCACAATTAATAATTTATTACTTTTGATACTTCTTAAAATAAAAATATTTTATAAAATTGATATTGTGTAAAACAATACGTTTAGGATAAATGATATTATATCAAAACTAGCTTTACAATTTTATAACATACACCTACATATATTCAGTAAAAATGTGACAATTTTAAGATAATGCATACGTTTAAATCAATTTTCCTTTCTAATTTTCCGTTGTGCATCCTTACATTTAATTTTCTATAAATAATATGTTCGTGGGTTGGTCGTTTTTAAAAATTATATTAGGTAAGAAAATGGCGAATCCATGTTTAGATACTTTATCTCACAGACTTTCGTAAAACTTATAGAAAATATAATAGTAAGTGGTTCAGAGATAATAAACGTACTTTCTTATATACATTTTGTAAGTTTGTTGGAGTTTTAACCATCAACTCATAACATACATACAAACTCGTAATAATTTGCATATTAGCACATCGAAAACCTCTATCACTATGTATGCCACCGTGTGTTTCCTTTGACAACTTTATCATCATCCGGATGAAAGTTTTCAGCAATTACTACTAGAGTCATTGATAATTCAGGACGAAAATGCATAAATATCATTATCTATCAATACCCATTTAGTCAATACATCACTTGAGTACTATATACCAATCTCCTTGATCCATATTAAATTTATAAGTCTATACACAATATATTAATCTATAAATTTAAAATTACTTATACTAACATATATTTATAGTACATCATAACTCTATTTCTAAGATAATATTTAAATATTAGTAAATATTGCTGCATATAAATATATTTTAAGTTAATAATTATAAAATATAAATAAAATAAATAATAAATTATAAAATATCTTTATACAAAATATAAAATTCAAACTTATTAGCAATATTATACATTGTTATTTTACTCAAACAATTTACAAAGTAATCTAAATTTGCTCATTAATTTGAATAAGTATATTTAAGTATTACATCAGGTCTATTCAAACGTGACATTTGTAATATTATTATAAAGTCCAAATATTTATGAATTTATATTAATAATTTTTGTAATTCGGCAATTTCTTTTAACAAGATACTAAACTATTAAATTATTACTTATGTTTTATTTGATAAATGTTTATTTTAAAGTCTAACAAAATCAATAAATTCATATAACAATAAATATAACTGTATTATTAAATCAAATGTAATTAAACATTACCATAATATATACACCAGTTATATCAAGCATTTAAAACATAACATTATTAAATAGATTATAAGTAATATTCTAGCTAGATAATTTAAATTTTCTAATTATTTAGTAGGTAACAAAATATAACCAAGTGCGTAATAGAATAAAATTGAATCTTTATGATAAGGTTCTTTAAAA